TATATATATATATATATATATATAATAGATCATTACAACATAGCAACATCCTATACATAATGATACGTGACCAAATCAACATGGAATGCGTAACCATATGTAACCAGAAGTGAGATAGCCACCCGGACAGAAGATCCTACTCTAGAGCCACAACCAAAAAAGGAATAAATAGGAAAACCTAGATCAAAAGTCCTCAGTCTATCCTATGTGACTTCATACAGTCCCTAGGGCATCCTCCTATAAATGACAATCAAAGCAGTGTGCCGACATTGGTGCCTTCGACCCACGGGTACAGTGAGGAGAAACTCACCTGAAATGAAGAACCCCGAAATACTGAGACACGCTTCCCTTTCTGCACTGCTTGCTCCTGCGAATCCTCTAATAACTAAAAACAGGTAAGATCTTAATCAACAATCAAAAACCCTCAAGTTTGATCCAAAGTCAAACTTTATCAAAAAGCCAATGGTCAATAGAATCAACGAAATTCAATGTCCAAGGCAGGCTGAGTACGTCCCGTGTACTCCAACCTACACCCAACGTACGCGATTCAAGCCTAGTATGTTAGGCGTACTCCCAGGTAGGCCCAACGTACGCTAACTGATTCCAACATTCCATTAAGCAGTTTAGCCATTAAGACCTTTTGTCCAGAGCTCAGTTATAGGTCCAAATTAACATCCTAAATCATAAAGTTTCCAACTTTATGATTTTGCATGGCTAGGAAGAGTCCAAATCCAAAACCCTAACTTATCATTAGATTATAAGTTTCATAACACATGCATGAATGGAAGGAAAAGATAAAGATTGCATTTTTGTGACTTAACACCCTCATATACACTTGGAAATGCACCTCACAAGATCTGGAGCAACCCACACTCAAATCAACCAATTTGTGGGACAAAAAGGACATAACTTTAACAACTAAGCTAGATCTATCAATAGAGGCATAAAGGTACAGACTTTATACCTTATGGAGATGAATAAGGGAGGATAACTTCCATATCTAAAGTTGCTTCAAGCTTTCAAGCACTATTACCACCTTCTTCTTCCTTCAAATGTACCAAAAAGCACACTCTTTAGCTTACAAGGCTCAAACTAGGGTTATAGTTTCAAGGGAGGACGTTAGAGATATAGAGGTTGAGAATGGAAGAGGTTTAGAGGAGTTAAGGAGCTTAAATAGGGCTCAAACCCCCAGATTTAGGGTTTGCGTTCTGATCGCGTACGACCTGCGTACCAAATGGTACACCTTGCATACGTTCTTGAAGGTGCGAATTTGAGATGCTGGTACGCACAGCGTACCACCATCCTTCCAAATTCAACACACTTTCAAACTACCACAACTTCTTCATTTCAACTTTGATTTTGGCGTTCTTTATATGCACGAAAAGATATTGAAGAGCCCACAATATTATCTAGATATCTTGTACTAAAAACTTCTTGAACTAAAAGTTGTAATTCATGCAAGAAGACGGTCTATGATTTTTCTCTTTTCTACCCTTCGACCCAAAACACAATTTAAGGGTTTAGACCTCACAACCATCATTATCACCTCCCAAAGGGCCTAACTTTACCCCCTTAAGGCCCAAAGCTTTCACACAATCGACTTTCGGCCCACGACCCTGGATTAAGAAATGACCAGACACAAGATGTTACACAATTTCACTATAAGATTTTAGAATGAATGATAGGCTGGGCCACCTCAAAAAGTGTGAACCAAACAGTAAATTACCAAAATCATTATAGTTTGTTTTCATTTATGTAAATCATAATCGATTTCCTTTCTCAAATAAAACTATTTAAATTTCATTACTTTTTTTTTTCAAATGTGTTTAGACATATAAAGTCTAAGCTCATAAACTCAACAATGATATAACTATATGCTGTTGAAAAATACATTTTAACACAAACATACTACTACAACGGATTCAAACAAGAAACTAATCAATCATAGAACAAAACCATGATCAACAACTTAGTTACAAAAAAGGTTTTCAAAATGTTGTAAAACCCTAACACGAACCTTAATGAGGATGAAGAAGACTCTTTGAGAGGAAAACATTTGGATGATTTTTGAAAATAACATGTACCAACTATGAAACAAGTAGGATGTGTTGTTTGTGTCGAGCACATTCCATAAGCAGTACCACAACTTCAACTGATCTGTAACACCACCCCTCTAATTTCAACTACACCATTCATACCCTTTATTTTTTCAGCAACTCAAAACAGTACTCAATAATCTCAATAAATACCATGCACTATACAATTAAAGTTAGATTGATATAAACCAATTATACGTCCAAAATCAATAGTGAATATGTTGTACAATTTAATACCCCAAATCTTAATTTTGGAATTGGTCTACCAACTTTAGTTTTCCACAAAGATAATTGTGTTGCACACACTCAACCCTTTAGTAACGATAATTGAATCAATATACCTTTTAATAACTTTAACGATATCATCAAATACCTTTTCCCTTAGCAAATGTACATTAATCTCAAGGTACTTTATACATTCATGAAAAACAATATTCAACAACAGTTTAATGGCAAAATTATTATTACCCAATTTTCAACTTTCAACTAATAATTTACATTCAAATCTCTTAGCAACTTAATGAACCAAATTATTACACATGCTACAAAAGCTAAATGACATGTATTTTGATTTATTTGAGGATGAATAATTGTTGTTTTAGTTTTCCAATATATTAAGGAATCTCCAAGAACCAAACAAAACTAGTGGTTGACCTTGAAGTACTTAAACATTTTTCCCAATCAACATCACAATAAACTATACTTCAGTTCAATGATATATTTATAGTAACACCCTTTCCAAAACTATTTTTTAGATATATTAAACCCCTAGTTGTCAATTTAAAGTGAGACCCCTTTAAAGGAGTGCTTGAATCGACTTAAAGTTTAAATCACAATTGAGATGTTTGGTTTGGTAAGTGTTAAATAAATGAGTTTTCCAACCACCTTTTGATATCTAGTAAAGTCTATCAACAAAAAGTATTCAACATCAACACCATTGGTGCTAACATCTGCTAACAATTTAAAATGAGTACTCGGTGATTTATGACCCAAACTGTATTCATATAAAAGTTCAAGTGTATACTTCCTTTTACATGGACAAACACAACTATTTGCATCGATACTTTATATTTCAAAAGAAGTTTTAAAACTCTTAACTTCTTAACTAAAATTTTTGACTTTAAAAGTTCTTTTACTTTATTTACTTCTTCAACTAATCTCCTAGATAGAATAATATCGTACAGACGTACATGTACACCATAAACACATTAAAACATTATTATATATCATAGAAAAAAAATACTTGTCGAAACTGCTTCTTTTAAGGAACAACATAACCAAAGATTGTGTATTCATTGATAAAGAAAACCAAACATTATATTTTGAAGAAGAATAGTTTTTACCAACAAAAAAACATATAACTACGAAGTTATTTCAAATCAATTTTTTAATCAGAGTGTTAGAAATTTATATTTGCTTCCATCCTATAATCGATGTGTGATGATTAAAGCATTATGTAGATTTCGAAGTATTGGTTATTGTTTGTTCTTTTATATTTTGTCTTCAACTTCATGTTTATTTGTGTTTTTTGTAGATAGTGTTGAATATTATATAAAATAAACATGCAAGAAAAACCGTCAAATAATATTGAGAATTATATATCGATTAGTTGCGAATAATAAATCCAATTATTATTAACAGTTACCAAGTTTCGTCCAGAAACCAAATTGATCATCCGCGGTCATATCTGATTATAAGAAAGAGGTGGAAGAAGATTATCAAACAAATTAAAAGACGACACAATAAAGTAAAACCAACCTCATAGTTGTACAAGACGGCACAATAAAGTAAAACCAACCTCATAGTTGTAGATCTTCGACTAATAAAACAAGTGCACAGAAGAAGCTTTTATCCTTAAAGGTTTTTAAATCGCATGTGGACTTGACCTATCTTTTGATTCACTTAAAGCCTTTGAAGGTCTATCAGGAGAAAAACATTATATAATCCATTAAATATTTATTCTCCTACCAACGTGGGATAATGGAAAACTAGCATTTCCCATTATAATTTCCATTATATACTATTATCAATTTGTATCAACTAAAATTGTTGGTATCAATTATACTTCGTACAGTAGAACTAACTATAGTTGGACTATAATTGGTACGATAAATATTTTAGAAAAAAACCATGGTGCCTACCATGATCACCTTAACCCTCGATGGACATTGGAACGGTTTGATATAGATCGTTCTGATAAATATGGTTTACTCTTTTTTTAGTATAGATGATGTCTATAAACACAATAGAAAACTTTATACATTTTTCCATTGATAAAAAATATATTTAGATGTGCCCTGTATAAAACATAGGTGATGATTAATGTATAAAGGAATACTCTATTTAAGTATTAATAAAAACAGGTGTTGAAAGATAAATAAAATAATGAAATGGCAAGTCAGCATACGATAACTACACAAAATTTGTGGATTTTATTTCAAGGATCGTCACAATTTTAAAGCCGCACAAAGTTGGGTTTGGGCGTTTGGCTTCACGTGGCATTGGGTTTCATTGACACCCAAACAAAACTCCAAACCAAACCCACTTCTCAAAGTCCCAAATGGCAACAAGAAACCTTCTTGTACCTTCGGCACTCTCTCGTACAACTAATTCAATAAATTCCTGTTACGCCACCAACTCCCCTAATCCTTCCAATTCTATGTTCAGTAGGCTGCTGTTTTCTTCTTCAAAATTATCCCATTTTCGCCCTAATTCGCCACTCAAGTTTCGTCCTATTTTTCTCTTATCATCTGCTCTTAATCCACCAATCAGAGTCTTTGCCATGGCTGGAAAAGATCAGACCTTTACAACCTCAACTTCTCATCAAAACAAGCACACCAATCGTCTTGCTTCAGAACACAGTCCTTATCTTCTTCAACATGCTCATAACCCTGTATGCCTATTTTGGCTTATTTAATTTCTGCTGGTTTCCATTAATGGGTTGTTTGGATATTGTATTCGTTTGCCCATCATCTTACTTGGACCTAGTTTGAATTCAAGAAAGTTTACGTATTCAGAAAGTTTCTCTTTGTTGACTGCAGTTTACATTCTTGGGCACTTTTGATCAGTGTGCCATGATTTATTGGGATTTTGTTGGAGTCCAAGAACTGTTTACATATTTGGGCATAAAATGCTTAAATGAATGCTATTTGATTGATGGGTACGTGTGATATTGGGTTATTGTTACATGATTTGATGAAATCATATTCCAACAATCTCGCCATGCCTGAAAAATATAAGACCCCCTTTACAACCGTAACATCATGTCAGCAGTCTCATCATAACACTATTTTTAATCCATACTGTCTTCTTTTGCCCCGATATATTAGTGAAAGATCAGTTCAAGAAAGTTCACGTATTTTGAATTTTGTTCCCTATTTGTGCCATGATTCACCGGATTCGAGAAATTTTTACATATTTGGGTGTAAAATAGCTGCAGCTTTTTATAGGTTCTTGGAATATTGTGTTATTGCTCTATGATCTTATCAGGATCTTGTTTGAATTCAAGAAATCTTCAATATTTTGTTGTGAAAAAGTTTTGTTTTTTACATCTCTGTAACAGTAGTGTTCATCACGAGTTACTTTCAATATTGCATTTTGTGTTATATTATTTCTGGGATTCGTCAAAATTTAAGAAACTCAAAGTATAGGGTTTCAAAATGATTTCATTTTTATTTTAAAAGGTTAATTGGTATCCATGGGGTGAGGAGGCCTTTGAACAAGCTCGACAAAGGGATGTGCCAATTTTCTTATCAAGTATGTTTTATTTTGTTTAGTATCCTTTTTCCCATATTTAATATTTAGGTAATTATTGAAACTAACATATGATGGTTTTGATAAATTTGGCCATGTATTGTTATTTCTTGGAAGTTGGATACAGTACCTGCCACTGGTGAGTCTTTTGCCCTCCAATAATCTGTTAAATTGTTGTAACCTTTTGATTATAAGATTCAATGCAAAAGATATTAGAATAGTTTTGGAGATTAAAAGAAAAAATATGTACATGGAAATTGAATTCAAACAGTAAGTTTGAATAGATTGCGAAGAAAGTGCCTATTCTAATCTTAAAATGAAAATAAGATCGTGTTTATTTATTACTAATTATAAAAAGAATGTATTTCTTTGTATTTTTAGAAAGTTACAGGGAATAAGATGGGTGATAATTTATGTGATGATTTGTTCAGGTGTCATGTAATGGAGGTAGAATCTTTCGAAGATGATGGGGTTGCTAAATTACTTAACGACGGGTTTATTAGTATCAAAGTGAGTTAATTTATGGTTCTTGATTTATATGCCATTTTTTTTTCTAAGACTTTTACATTAATGTTAGCCCTAAATCAGTAAGTCACAAGTACATATGAGGGCATAACCTTGAAAAGATCATATTCAAATTAAACCATGGACATGGTGTGGACTATAGTTTTTAGACTCGACTCTTATTTTCGATTGGAATTCTGAATTTTACTTTTGCTTCCAAATAGGTGGATCGTGAAGAACGCCCGGATGTAGATAAGGTAAAGGAGTTTCCTATGAATTTATTATGGAAGTGCAAACAGTATCAGGAAAATGCCAAAAAGAATTATCCATAACATTCAAAGTTTATTAAGAAAGAAACATCCCCTTACTTTTGTTGAGACTTGATACTTTTCAGGTGTACATGACCTATGTCCAAGCTCTATATGGTAGTGGAGGGTGGCCATTAAGTGTCTTTCTTTCTCCTGATTTGAAGCCTTTGATGGGTGGAACTTACTTCCCTCCTGATGACAAATATGGAAGGCCAGGTTTCAAAACCATACTCAGGTTTGTACCATGTTTTAGCTGTCTATTCAATCTTTCTAGAAGAAGCTAGGTGGTTTTGACTTTTTTGGTCAAAGGGACTACGCTTGAACTCGAAATCATGCTACCATTTTCTCAAATAATGTTTAAACATCATTTATCCTAAAAAAAGAAAAGCAACAAGGGCTGTTTCTTTCTTTTAAGTTCTGTACGGATAAAGTGGTTGAACAAGTAATGATGTATGTATAGATAAAGTGTCGCATACATAAAGTCTGTTTCTTTTCTAGACTGAATAATCAATGTGGATGAGACTAAATGACCATTCTACCCTTGCATTCCAACCAATTTGTTTTAATTAATTTTAACATGAGAAGAGTTGGGAGGATAAAAGGACAAATAGGTAAAGGGTAGATGTCTTAATGCATCAAGGCATTAAGTGCATAACCCATTTAGCCCACTAAGTCAAGTCACAAAGAAACAATCCCTTTATAGCGTGTTTATTGGTGTTGCAGGAAAGTGGAAGAGGCTTGGGAGAGTAAAAGAGAAGTGCTTGTTAAAAGTGGTACATTTGCTATCGAACAATTGTCAGAAGCATTATCTGCTACTGCATTGTCTGACAAATTGTCTGAAGGACTTGCCCAGAGTGCATTACGCGATTGCACAAAATCTGTAAACAACTAATCCTGCTTTCTTTTTTCATTGGGTTTTATGTGTTTTAATTTTCTTTTTGTTTTTATGTATGTAAATTGTAATAGCTTGCTGAAAGTTATGATCCAAAATATGGTGGATTTGGTTCTGCCCCCAAGTTTCCCCGGCCATCCGAGCCTCAAGCAATGATATATGAGTCAAAGAAATTGTGGGATTTAGGAAAAACAAGTGAAGCTGAACAACATCTGAAAATGGTGTCATTTAGCTTGCAATGCATGGCAAGAGGTGGTGTCCATGATCATGTTGGTGGTGGCTTTCATCGTTACAGTGTAGATGAATGCTGGCATGGTTAGTATAAATGCAAGAAATAACAATGTACTTTCATTTGTAAATTTTCTTATTAAGACCTTATACTTTGAAAATTTTATCCTATTAATAGCAATGAAAATAGCTTTCTATCTAAACTTATAACTGGGTAGATTTTTCAAAGTAAATGCTGTAATAGGAAGATATGAATGAAAGTATGCTGTTGTTTCTTGCATTTAACACTTGGGTTTATGATAAATTGTTGGCAGTTCCACATTTTGAGAAGATGTTGTATGATCAAGGTCAACTTGCCAATGTGTATCTTGATGTTTTCTCTATCACGAAAGATGTGTTCTACTCTTGTGTTGCACGTGATATTCTTGATTATTTGAGGAGAGACATGATTGGACCCAATGGTGAAATCTTTTCTGCTGAGGATGCTGATAGTGCTGAATCTGAAAACTCTACTAAGAAAAAAGAAGGCGCTTTTTACGTGTGGAGTAACAATGAGGTATGTAGCTACATGTTTATTGATATGTTTACATAAGGGTTAAATGTGCATTTATGCAACACAGTGGTTTTTCATACAAAATATTTAGCAACGTTCCATTTTGGCTTTCATCTTGAGTTGACACCCTTGCATAGTACGTACTATAGGGCTAAATGCAAGAAGTAACAACATATTTTCAGTTTTTTGTGTATTATAACATCTTATTTTCAGTTGTTTCTATTATAGCATTGTAAAACTAATTATTTTCTTATTATTGGCTATTGCATTGTACTTTGAAAATCTACGCAGTTATAGCATTGTGTTTTCAATTTCCTTTCTTATTAGGACAATTGTACTTTAAAAGATCTGCCAAAGTATAAAAATTACTTTGTATTTTTGGACAACGTTGCTATAATTGGAAAAAAAAATTCAAAGTAGAATCCTGTAATAGGAAAAATTGGAAGTAGGATGCAAAAATAAACAAATCAATGGGATCATGTTGCTATTTCTTGCATTTAACTCTGTATTTGATGGTTGTTAAGGTTGATGACATAGTTGGCGAGCATGCGAGTCTTTTTAAGGAGCATTACTACATCAAGAAATCAGGAAACTGTGATCTTTCTTCAAGGAGTGATCCAGACAAGGAATTCAAAGGGAAAAATGTACTCATTGAAAGAAACAATGCAGACACAATCGCATCAAAATATGGTATTCCACTGGAGAATTATCACCAAATTCTCGGTGCAAGTCGTAAAAAACTTTTTGATGCAAGATCAAAACGCCCTCGACCCCATCTTGATGACAAGGTCAGTTTCTTTTATATATTTATTGCAAGGGTATTCTTGTCATTTGCGCTTAACAGACCAAATCCACAGGTCATTGTATCTTGGAATGGGCTTGTAGTTTCATCGTTTGCTAGAGCATCCAAGATCCTCAAGAACGAACCTGATGTAACAAAATTCAACTTTCCTGTTGCTGGAACTGATGTAAGATTGAATCTTGAAATAAAGATGAAAAAGTTTACTCATTTTCATGTTTTAAATTAATTATTTTTGTAAATTCAGCCACAGGAGTACATGGAGGTTGCAAAAAGATCTTTGGAGTTCATAAAGGAAAATCTTTACAACCCCCAATCTAGAAGGCTGCAACACAGTTTCAGGAAAGGACCTTCAAAAGCTCCAGGATTCTTGGATGATTATGCATTTTTGATTTCAGGGTTGTTAGATGTGTATGAGTATGGTGGTGAGATTTCATGGTTATCCTGGGCAGTTGAACTTCAAGAAACACAAGTATTCCATCTCGTGAACTCCATTATTACATATTTCTCTACTTTACGAACCAAATTTTAACTTCTTTTCTTTTTCTGGTTTTTAGGATGAGGTGTTCCTTGACAAAACTGGAGGTGGTTATTTTAACACCACAGGAGAAGATGATTCGGTTCTTCTCCGTGTGAAGGAAGACCATGATGGGGCAGAACCTTCCGGAAACTCTGTTTCAGCAATAAATCTCGTGAGGCTCGCGTCCATGTTCACTGGGGAAAGATCCGATCGTTATAAGCAAAATGCTGAACATCTTTTGGTTTGATTTTCTTACTTTGACTCGAATTCATGTAAAAATTACATTTTTTTTTTTAATATTTGGTTGTGAATGTGAATTGCAGGCGGTTTTTGAGAAGAGATTGAAGGAAGCCCCGGTGGCTGTTCCATTAATGTGTTGTGCTGCTGATATGCTTGTGGTTCCTTCAAAGAAACAAGTTGTCTTGGTGGGGAAGAAAGCATCTCCTCAGATGGAACACATGCTTGTCTCAGCTCATGCATCTTATGATCCTAACAAAACCGTAAGTCAAAGTCTTTTGACTTTTAACTTTTAGGCCCTGTATGACAAGACATGACAGAACAGGTTGTACTGTGTTGGGTTGCATAGGCATTGCAAAAGATGTGACTATTTAATTGCTTCTTTTTTTTGTTATACTAGGTGATACATATAGATCCGAGTGATGAAGAAGAGATGGGATTTTGGGAGGAGAAGAACCCGAATATTTCTGCAATGGCAAAGAGCAATGCTGTAGCAGAAAATGTGGTGGCTCTTGTTTGTCGGGATTTTGCATGTAAAGCTCCTGTTATGGATCCCAAATCACTTGGAGCTTTACTTTTGTCAGGGAAAGCTTAGGTGTGTAATCACTAATCAGTAATGTTTGTGTATTTATAGAGGTCAATAAAAGGTTTGTGTATAATGCTACTACAGTGTTGATAAGATATGTGTTATGTTATTATGGCTTAGTAGGAACCAACAGTGATAGATTTTATTGATATCTTAAATACTTGATCGCCAATTTCTGTGTTTTCTGTATAATCAAATGTTTATGTTTTTATATTTGATCGCCAAAGGTTTTGAATATAGTTTTGTATGTTTTGAGCATTAAACGAATAAAATCGGAGTTCAAAATAAACATAACATAATAATTCTAAAAAATTTCAAATTTCAGATAACTTACTAATTCAAAGACTTTCAAAATTAAAATGATTCACAAACCATTAGAATACTTTATCTAATTTAAAATTAAAGTTTCAAAGATCATATATATTCATAAACACAACCTACTTATTCAAAGACTTTTAAGATTCAAACTATTCATAAAGCTTACATAATCGAACAAGATCATATAAACAATTCACAGAATTTATAGATTAAACAAAATCAAGTGAACAATTAATTTTAAAAAAGCACATAACCTTTTTACAGCATAACAATCTAATTAGTAAATTAGAATCATATATTACAAAAATATATAAAACTATTATGCATAGGGGTGTGCAATAAACCGCATAAACCGCCCGCACCGCACCAAACCGCACCGCATAACGCGGTTTAAAACACTCGCGGTGCGGTTTGTGGTTTGTAT